AGCAGGTCGGGCCCATTGAAAGCTGTCCTCCTTCAGCAAACAGGTGACCCATCACCTATTGGCTGAATGGAGGAATCGCTTGCCATTTGGACAAAGGCCCCAGGACAGGTAATCCTCCACTTGTGGATCATAACTGAGCGCAAAATCCCTCTTGCTTAAAAGAGGCTGTTGTGAATTCTGCCCATTTTGCAACCATCTTGCCACAGTTCTGAAGCGGAATCACTGCGATTTAAGTTACTAAATGGTTCTTAATAGTGAATCGGTCTTCCCCGATGACTTTGGTCTGTCACTGGGTCGCACAAGGGGATCAACATGACCCCAGGACACTGCAACTGTCGTAAAGGTGAATCAGCTGCCAAGCACCTGAATTTTGATCATGTCACAATTGGAAATGTTACAGCAGCCCTAAGTTGAAAAAAATCAATCATAATGCCACTTTAACTTCGGTCACTAAATAAGCTGTTGATAGTTCAAGGACTGCCTGTATTCTCCTCATAAGTTACCCAAGAGACACACAGCTACACCTCACTTCAAAATGAAGGCACTACAATCTCTTACCCCTTCCATCTCTCCTGGAAAAACGAAGAGCCAAACCGGCTTCAACCAGATCAAGAACAGCCTCCACCGTTATACACTAAAAGCCTCACATCGCTTTAATTTTATTGAAGGAAGAGGTTTCCAGAATGCAAAGGCAAGCCCAAAGAGGTGTTGTAAGAGAACTGCCTCTCAGCAAGCAAGACTCTTAATCCACTGAGTTGGCTAAAAAGAACTTTTGGCTGAGGGAGAAGCGATTGCAGGATAAGGCGAAATGTGAAAAAAGCCCACGCGAAGCAAACAATATTCTTTCCTTTCCCCAAGCCCAATTCCCCACCCCCACCCAGTCCACAAAAGGTTGTTTGGAGAGTCTCTGAGGCATGAGGAGATAAGAGTTTGCCCTCAGAGACTGATGGCCTTGGAGTCTGGCTGAAACCGGCCGGGAGAAGAGTTCCTTCTGTCTAGGAAGACGCTCTCCCTATTTCCCAAGCAGTCAAGGCAAAAGCAAAAAAAAACAAGCCAAAAATGCCAGCAAGCCTCCCTCACTTTCCAACATAATGGCAGGACACAAGGGTGGACCTGACAGGTGTGAGGGGATGTCCAGCAATTTGCAAAACTAGAAAGAAAAGGTTCCTTGGAGGGAATGCTGGAGGGATGCAGGGGGTTGAGCACCCCATTTAAAAGATTCTACTTGAGCTGAACTGCAAGGATCTCAGAGCAAGGAATCGCATCTTCGTTCCTTTTAACTAGGCAACTGCAATGAGGTCACCCACAGAAAGCGTAATTGCTGGAAAATTGCCCTATTGTAGCTTTGCTTCAGGCCCTATAATTGTTTATAAGAAAAAAAAAAGAGGATTCTGGGTGCAATTCAAAGTGCTGCCTTCAACCTATGGGGATCTAGGGACTAAGACAAGATCACCTTGTCTCTTATCACACAGTACCTTAAAGCAGCAAAGGTTGAACCACCTGACTCCAAAGACTGAGCCCTACCTGAGGTTAACTAGAACAGAGAGTAAAAATGGTGACAAGAGTGTCTTCCAAGTCCAGTAAGGATTAACTGATGGTATCAGAAGAACACACACATTTAATTAAGTCCTACATGGCAGAATGTTTACACATTGCCAGAAGCCATCAAGATCACAAGAGGCAGAACGAAGAGGGAAGTATCAACAGTTGGCAGCGCCCCAAGAGTAAATGCTGTACCTTCTTGTCCTTGAGCAAACTGGAGTCTCTAGGTGGTGGGGGCCTCCTCCTTTGTTCCTTAGCGTCCGTTGCTTCTGGATCGGGGGCCAAGGGATCATCCTTACTCTTGCCAAGGGCTCCACCCCGCTTGGTGGCAGCATCCGGGGTGGCTTTCAGACCCCCATCGGGAGAGCTGCGTTGGCTACAGGTGGCCGAGGAGACCTGGGAGTCACTGCTAAGGTCCACGCCGCTGTCAGACAGGCTCATCTGAAAAGAGAGGTCAAGGGGATTCCGGTTAGGAGAGTTCGGGATGAAAAGGAAGCCCAGAACAAAGTCTCTTCCTAAGTGGCTTAACGTCGGTTCCGCTCTCTCACGGACGTTGCTTCCCCCACCCTCTTCCAGCAGGGACACCCCCCTGCCCCAGCTCTCTCACCTCTGTACTTGCAACCTCTTCAAAGGCATTCAGTGGGTCAATCCATGGTTCCACAGAGGCAGGACGGTAGCTTTTCCGAGAAGAGTCTGATTGAATGAAGTACAAGGGGAAATTGTGTGGGGCTTCTCTACAACCTCTCAGGAGGCCTTCAAGGCTCACCCTGTTCAAACTGAAGACTTGTTCCAGCTCATAAGAAGTGTTTGTTTTCCAAAGATACCTCAATATACTACGATAGCTGGAACTGTTGGTACAATTGGATTGACCAAAGATAGATTTTATACTATAAGGCAACTACACTATAAGGCAACTATCCACTATAAGGATAAACCTATAGCAGTGATATATAGATATATGTAAAGATTAGGTGTGTGTATATGGCATAAACTAAGGGATATGGGGGAAAAAAAAGATCTTACCAACTGTGGAAGATGAGAATGTTTTTAATTGCTTTCTATTCTTTCTGTCTATTTTCTTTTCTTTCTCTTTCTTTTTTTCCCTTTTCTTTCATTTGTGTATGTGTTGTTGGGTTGTTTTAATTGTAAAATTAATAAAATTTATTTATAAAAAAAGAAAAAGACGTGTTTGTTTTCAACCTACGCGAATGTTGCCAGACATCTGGTGCCCAGGGGCTGCAGACACTTCCTTGCCTGTTCCTTGCTAAACACCTATCCAGAATGCTCAAAGAACAGCTGACAAAATGGACATTAAAAAAAAAACCAAAACCCGACACCTATACAGACACACCTTTAACTGGTATGATCAGGTTTGTTCTGGTCCAAAGGATTGTCCATCGCTGCTAGAGCTGCCTATGTACACTTCAACTCAATCTCAACCCTCTTCCTTTCCTTTCCTTTCCTTTCCTTTCCTTTCCTTTCCTTTCCTTT